TGTCAACAAGTGGACCAGGTTATACCTTCTTCCCATTCCATCCTGGTCTACAACCCTCCCACTATGCTGTCTGCTATGAAGCATATTGTCTTGGCAACATGTCCCATGCTGCAAACCTTTGGGGGGCTGCTCCATAGAAAAATGCAAAAGTATACACCATGTAGTTTTAAAACAATTAGCTAACGTGTTGCACTAAACACACAAGTACTTTCCTGGAAAGAACTAATGTGGAAACATTGACGATTAAGAGCAAACTGGAAGACGTTGTATGAAAACTAAAAATAGGCAAGCTGGAAGCAACGTCAATATTAGTTGAACAGCTGTCAGAACAGGAACACTAGATGTCCAGAAGTACCCTTTACACTTGGCTTTTCTCATGTGCAAGGTACACAGGGCATCAAGGGTGCTTTGAAGTGTCATTCTCTCATCACCTGCCAGGCCTTACTCCTTACCACTACATGCAAATCCCAACTCACACAGCCTGGCTTCCCTTCTACATTAAGAAATAATGCCCCAACTCTGTGTACATGTGTCTGACTATAAATATATGATTGTAAATAGTTGACTAGACGAAGGGAAACCAGTAGCAGCCGTGTTTTGTTTTAACCACTTCTGCAGGCCACCGTATTGTGGCCCAGATGTAGTTAATGAACACTTTCCCCCCCATTGACCGGTGTAGTTTTATTTGATGGTGGTGTGACAAGACAGATGGTACCAGAGCCTTGCTTTTGGTTCTTATTTAAGATTTCCAGTACTCACTAGAAATGGCCACAAGTTACCTACTCAAACTAGTAATGCAGAATACAACAAATGCCAGCAATAGTACATTATACTATAATGTACTTTGCTGGGATTTGTAGTCCTCTGTAGCTGCACACATACAGATACACACAACCATAAAATATAATGGCTCATTTGTTCCAGAAAATATATAAGATTTTTTTTTTTACCCTCACTTCAATACATGCAGCAGCTTCAGCCAATCTTGATCTAGGTATACATGTATGGATACATTTACTGCACACCATGGCCTAGCTGCAAGGACAGGCATGCAAGTGTTAATTCCTGCAGAGAAACACAAGACAGCAGTGCTGTACCAGCTGACCAGAAGCAAGCCCCCGTATGAAATCTCATTCAAGGACACTCAGTGTCTTCTAGCCAAGCAGTTATCTAAAATACGAGCTAGGATTATCCTCATGTTATGAACAATCCTCAATGAGACCCCAGTACTAGTCTGTATTACAACTGAATGACATCTCATCCCGTTTCCTTTGCTGGGATAGGAATTCTACTCAGGTCTTTCCATGTAGAACACACAAGTATATACAGCTGCCAAAGGCATAGTACTACAAAATGGAATGACAGGTGATAAATATCACAGGGCTGGAACAACAGGTAGATCACTACTTAGCCAATGAAGTCCCACACATCTGCTCAAATGACAAGCCCTTCACCAGCTCAGGAGGTACATGGATGATGCCTTAATATAATTAATGTGAAGGCTCGTTACTATTGACAAGTATTAGCATGCATTTAGATCAGTAATTATACTGATTGGTTGCTACTAATAGGCCTCTGCAAGATTCCCCCAACCATCGTACAAGGCTCATTATTGTTATTTCATGTGTTTATACAATACCTACACCCATTAGAACAATGAAACCAAATGGGAAGTTATTACTAAATGAAATACATGCGTCATACAATGACAATCTGGAGCGATACAAGGCATCCCTACAAGGATAGCTTTTCAATGCCAATGTTGGCAAAAATGAATCAATAGGCAGAAAATGAATCAGTTTTGCAATGCTTGGAAGTAGGAAACCAGGGCCCACTGTTCAGCATAGCCATACGCATGCATGACCCAATCTGCAATTAGGACAGGCATTTGAAATGTCAAGATTTGCTTTTTCTG